ATGTCTGATGCTGCCCTGCTGTCGGGCCGTGTCCCTTCCGAGGTACACTGGCAGTCGGTATGACCTGTGACGGTCTCTTAAGTCTGAATGTTTAACTAAACCGGAGTGGATTCCCACTAGGTAGTACAGATACATAATACAGCTTCTCATTCTATGTTCCACGTCTTAACATAGTTCATATTTTCTATCTCCTTTTCTCTCAGTGCTGCATTTTGTTATTTCTTTGTATATATTTTTTCTAATTCACTAATTCTATCTTCAACTGTTTAATCTAGTAATTGACCTACCGTTTTGAGGGACAAGTATAAATTTTCATTTCTAGAAATGCCTTTTTTTTTTTTTTTAAGCAAATCTCTTACTGACTGGAGATCCTTGTGACTGCACCCTCTATTTCTTTAAACATTATAAAGGTAACAGGTACATACTCTGTAGCTAAAAGTCCACTATCTGTAGGCCTCTGGGAGCATATATTATTTGTTATGACTACCAACGCTCAGTCATAGTGATTATTTTATTTACTAATCACAGATTATGAGATCATTAATAGATCTTAAACCAGAGTCTTATAGGCCTAAATTGAGAATGGGGAAGCTTTCTAGCAAAAAGGATTTACTGCTTTCCCCAGGTGCCATGCACACGACTACCTTGGGCTTCAGCCCCTTGGGAATCTAGGCTTAGCCATGGCTGCCCATGATTCAGTATCCAATAGCACTGCTCCTTTCAACAATTAACCTCAGGCAACCCTCCCATCCCCACTGCCTGCTTTGTCACTCTGGCCCCAGCTCAGGGTGGGTTTGTTTTCTGAAAGAGAAGAGTTCTTGGAGCTCTCCCCTAACTCCAGGAAGACCAGCAATGTCTTAATTAGTTTGTCTTCTGCAGACTTCAGAACGTCATGCAGGAAGGTCACCTGGAGCTCATGATTAGTCCATATTGTTGGAAGCAGAACCCTAGCACCATTTTACACAGTTGAAAACACTGGATACTTAAACAAACATTTACACTTTCGTATATAATCCAATCTTTTCTTTCCTTATAGAATTCATATTTTTAGAGGCAAAATTTTAATCTCATCATTTCTTGCCATTGTTTTAGCCTTCTTACTGGTCTCTTATCATACTCCCCTTCAATCCAGTTGCAGTCAACCACGTGATCTTTACCAAATGAAATCTGACCCTCAAACTATCCTTATCAAAGTACTTCCCTGAGTCCCTTCCGCCTTTTAGGAAAAGTACTCCTCACCAGCCTTATCTTCCACACCTTCTGGCCCTACTAAATCATTCACCCCTCACAGATCTGGGTATGCTTCACTCTCCCCCTCAAAACGTATTTCCCCCTCTGGCAAACTGCATCCTTCAACATCAGCTCTGGGGTCATCCCCCCGTTTTATGAGCATTTCCTGACTCCCCAAGTCCCAATCTCTTTATATTCTGGCCTCATTTAGCCTTCAACCTTTTTTTTCCACAGCATTCTCAGCTCTCATTTTTTGATTATATGGAGCTTTTTGCTTCTATACATTTGCACATCTTTTTCTTTATGTCTGACAGACTCTGCAATCATTCTATCAAAAACTATTATTTTTCAAAGTCCAGCTTAAAATCAGATTTTTCTTCTATGACACCATCCTAGTGGAGAAGGTAAAATTAACTTTCTTCTTCAGGCAGCCTTAAATCTCTGCACATGCCTCTAGTACAGGACCTGATATATATGTGAAGGTTTGTCATCTCATCCATTGGACCATGAGCATCCACAATTTAGTCATCTCTGAATCCTGCAATGTATTGCAAATACCCCTAAAGACTGTTGAATGAGTATATTTGAAAGGTTGTAAATTATATAAATACAAATCACATAAAAAGCAAAGCTTCTGACTGCATTATATAGAAATGTGCAATTTTCTGCCTATCTCGCCCTCGTCTTAAAGAAAAACAATTTAATACTAAACTCCAGGAGAAGCAAGGGTGCCAGAAAGGAGAGCTTTGATTATTATCTAGCCACGTATTCTCAATAGTGACATCACTCCCCAGGGGCAAGAACTGGTCCTTGTGGGTAAAATGCTCCTACACTTTTTATAATAAAGCACATATATACATACACTGCATAAACAAACATAAATTTCATGAGGGTAGATGGAATTAAGGAACGAAAGGTTATCTATAAGGTTTTTTAAAGATGTGATAATAAAAAATGGTTGAGAAACACTGATCAGCTAGGGCCCTACTACCTTCGTTAAAAGTGCAACATCTCACCTGGCTGGCATGGCTCAATGATTGAGTGTCGACCTATGAACCAGGAGGTTACGGTTCGATTCCCAGTTTGGGTGCATGCCCTGGTGGGGTCTTGATCCCAGTACAGAGCCTGCAGGAGGCAGCCGATCAATGATTCTCTCTCATCATTAATGTTCCTCTCTCTCTCTCTCTCTCTCTCTCTCTATACCCCCGCGCCGCCCTGCTTTTTCTCTGAAATTAAGAAAAAAAAAGTGCAACGTTTCAGGAAAATGAAAGATGGCCCTTGTGTTACTTGCTACCAACTTGCTAGGCAAAGCAGGTATGTCCTTTTTAAATCTACCTCCTCCCCTGCCTACCACTGATCATTGCTTTTTTCTACCCTCTGCTCCAAGATCCTCCCTCAAAACACACCTGATGTTTTAGTTCTAATGCATTTGGAAGCTACATCTGCTACCCCCATCTCTTCTCTACTTTGAGCCGAGAAGTTCCAACAACTAACTGAGCATTTACTCTATTTTAGCTTTCTGCACATCACATCCTTTTCATTGTCATCTCTCATTATTCTGTAACAAAAATCTTAAAAAGGATGAGAGCTTTAAAAAATCTATTTATATGTTCTTCTGAAAAATAATGAATGCTTTTCTAACATAAATAATCACCGTGGACTTATTACGTAGGATCCAGAAAAGTGCTGATTCCACTTCCATCTTCCACCTCTGTTCCCAGGACCTGAGTCTGGCCATCACTGTTTCTTGGGCCACAGCCTTCTAATATATCTCTCCTCTAACCTACCCTCCACAGAAGTCATCTTCCTAAAATACACATCCAAGAATGTTACTTCTCTAAACCAAACCTTCATGAATAAATCATTCACTTGGCAAATACTGAGTGGGCATCTCTCACGGGCCAGCTGCTGTGCTGGTCTCTGCAGATTCCATGGAGGACGGAGGGACACTGCCCTCTTGGAGCCGGCAGTCAGGGGTGGGCGGAACGCTAACTGAGGAAATAAACTTAACTATAAAGTGTGTTGAGTGCTAAATCAAAACAAAAACAAACGAAGAGTGCTATTAAAAAAGAAAAGTAAGGGACAGACCTACTTTAGATTGGGTCAGGGAAGGCCTCTCCCAGTAGGTGTGATTTAAACCGAAGGGGGGAAAAGGCAGTTAGGTAAAAAGTTGCAGTTAGAGGGACAAGAAAGTATTTCAGGCAGAGAAAAGTTTGGGGTAAGGGAAAGGACCTAAAGCAGGAAAGATACTGAGATGTTAGAGGAACTAAAAGCCATATATACTAAGCCATACATAGCATGGCTAATATATGCTAAAGTAGAATTTGGGTCCTCATTCCCAGTAGAATAAAATTCACATCCTCATCAGGAACCCTCACATGCTGGCCGCAGCCTACCTTCCCCACTCTCCTTTCATCACCTTTCTTTCATAAGCAATCCACACGTTGACCACCCGGGACCACTTCCATTCCCACCCTAACAGGGCACACATTTCATACCTCCATGCCATTGCTCAAGCTCTTTCCTCTGCCTAAAATGGTCTTTTTTTTCCCCCCCAAGTCTTTCAGATCCTACCAGGCACAATTTATCTCTTCCTTTCTTCATGATTCCAGAGCATTTTGTTTACAGTGCTTTTACACACGTTTGTTTATATAGTTTTATGACTGACTTATATTACATTCAGTTGTATATACATTTGTCTTCTCTAAAAGGTTATGACTATAAACCATGTCGGTTATTTGTGTATTTCCTCCTCTGATCTTATGAACATAAAACACAGTGCTTAATAGATGCTTATGGAGATAATGTGCTAGCATGAGTTTTTACAACTAGGTTGCAGTTATAGCCATTTTAACTACATTACACTAGATTAGTAGTAGTAAATTAAATCACAAAGTATTAGTTCTAGAACAATAAAGCAATTCTTTGTAAAAAAACAATAAAGATGATAATTTTAAAATGTTTTCAATTTCTTCAACAAAAAAGAAAGACATGTAAAAAAAAAAAAGTTCCTTCAAACTCATTTAAAGTAAAACAGACAAAGGATACTTCCCTCAATACATACTGAGGCATGCCCTATCATTAAGTTTTCTTGCCACAAGAGTAATCAGAATATAAAACCAAAACAGGCTTACCACTTTTAAAACAAACAACAGAAGTATAATTATTTGATTCTGACTAATAATTATTCCAGCATCAGTGCATCCAGATACATTCATAGGAAGTGCTAACCTCTTTTTCCCCGAGTACCATTCAATGAAGAACCAATGCAAAACAAGAGGAAGCATAGCCATGAATCCAAGATAGAGCCAGTCATAGAGCTCTGGAGATTCTGTGCAAGGCTGGCAGTACTTCTGTGCGTTTGTTCTCTGTCCTCTTGGGCACACCTACAACATATAAAAATAATATTTTATGTACAGATATTACTTTAGAACATTAGCACCCCCAAAATCTTTCTATAAAATGTCCCATTTCTGTTTAAACATCTATTTACATGTGCATCTTTCAGATATAAAAAAGAGAAAGCGTAAGTAAAATAAAAAGAAATCTACACTGTATTTGCCTGTATCTGTATGAAACCAACTGTAAAAGGAGTCCTTTTACTAAGTTACTAAAATAGTTGACTAATATTAAATGACAAACTTAGCTATTAACATTGTATAAAAATGATTGCAAACAAGTGTTCTGGAATTGTAATGTTAACTGACTTGCATATCCAAGTCACTGTACTATATCATTAATAAAAAGTAATTTAAAATTACTCTAAAATTATAAAATGTTCTTAAAAACACAGTAACTGTGACTGTAAAGAAAGATGTATTATAAACAATCAATATGACAACACAAAGATTTTATTAATGCCTACATAGTCTTTTAGAAATTAATGAGTAGACTGAAGAAAAAAGATATACTACATGTGAAAATATTACAAAAGCAAAAAGATTTTACAAATGAACATACAAACATTAAGACTTACCCCACATTCTCCATACAGTTCAGTTGTGGCATTTTTAAATAACAGGGTCTTCCCACAGTAAAGTCCGAGGCATGCTGGTTGAATATCGACAGCTTTTTAAAAACAAATGCCAGTACAGTAACATCTTTTGTGATTATAAACAAATAATGCAATAATAGTTGCAGCACTTGGCAGAAATATCTCAGTACAGTTTCAAATAAAATAATCATATGTACTGTGGCAAAAGTCTTGTGCATTGATTTTAAAAATTAAATTTCTCCTTTACACTGTGACACGACACTGCACAAAGTTATACTGGAACCTTGTTGTTAATACTGTTTCTTGTGATGAACATCCTCAGTCCTCTACCTGCAGGTCAGGAGGTATCCCTGGAACTCAAAGCCTAACCTGGCCCGTCTCCAGGAGCTCCAGCCAGCACTCCCCTTGATTAGGTGGTCTAGCCTTCTGAATTTAAATGGTTTTCTAATAAGAGGATTGGTGGAGGATCACTACTTTTTATTTTGCTCAGTCAGGACATTAAGTGCACGTGCACAAACACACAAACACACACACTATCTACTATCACCTTCTTTCATAACAGGACACATTTTAATACCAGAAAAGCAGAAAGAACATAATTTCAGAATAAAGGGCAGGCCTTTAGAGTAAATAAATTCACCTTTATAAAAGGCTTACTTACATTGTCCTAACTTTTGTCAAGGACAGCTGAAAACTTCATCAAGGCTGTCACGGGGCCTCTGACCAATACTTGGAACCACTGCCTGAATCAACCCCCAGATCTGGAGGCTTGGGGGAAATTAAAAGCAGCTGCTCTTTACAAAACCACTCAGGGCGGACCGACTGTCTTTGACCTCATCAACAGGTAGAGGTTATTGAAGGAGGGTTGTTTTTTTCATCAGGGACATTTCCCTTCCTTCACTGATTCACTCATTCAACGAACATGCATTAAATGTCAGATTCCACTGGTCAGGGTCCACTAAAGATCCACAGAGGGACATGGCAGTCCCTGCCTTCACGGAACCTTTAGCCTCGTGTGGAACAATTCCAAAACAACTGTGGTCAAACGCAAATTAATTAGAAAAGTATGCATTTTATAATTATGATGGACAATCATTTCCCAAACTCTTCATGAATTCACATCTAGAGACTGGTCCACAATGCCCGTTCTCCTTTCAAATTTGAATAGACTTCTGATTTTTTTCTCCTTTTGCAGTTGAGAAAAAAACAACAGAAATAACACTGACTAAAATGCCTCAAGTCTAATAGTTTCACTTTTATCAAATCTTTGAGTTTGTTTCTTTTTTAAATTCCCGGGCTTCTTTGACGCTTATTTTTAAACCAACTGTAATCACAATGATCTAAGCTAATGCATGGAAATGAATTGATTTTTTGAGAAGCCCCGGGTTAAAGAATTGGAAGTTTTCCTATACAGGTTTTGCCTATAGTAGATGCTTAATAAATCTATTTGAATGTAAGTCAATTTTCTCAAACCCCAAGTCCTGAAAGCCAGCACCAGCTTATCATCGGCCAAACCAACCCTGACTCCCAGCGTCCAATCACTTTCCTTACACTCCCTGCAGCTAGCGTTCTGACTTGGTGTTTTGCAATCTCTGTGACGGGCCCCCTACACTCACGATTGATGCTGAAGCGGGAGACAACAGCTATGCGGCCATCAGCCTCTGCTCCCGCGCCCTAAGCTGTGAAGTCCACCCTGGTGAGTGTTCAACCAGGACTGACGCGGAGACTGAAGGGACCCTCCGACCGCAGCCTCGGAGGCCTCTAGCCCATCCCTCCCCGCGCGCAGCGGCCTCCCCTCGGCATCCGGGCCGGAGCCGAGGCCCCCGACCCCACCCCCATCCCCAGGAGAGTGCAGGGCGCGCCCCCACGGCGAGGGGTGGGGGAGCGGGGAGCGAGGATGAGCGGAGCCCCGCGCAGCAGCCAAGGCTAGAAGCTTTTGCAAAGGCTCCCGGGACCCCAGCGACCACTCACCCATGGGCCGCGGGTAAGTTTCCTTGGAGAAGCTCCAGGATCAGCCGCAGGGCCCGCTGCGCCCGGACATCCGGGCTACGGACGCCTAGGCGGGTCCGCCTCCTGGTAACCCGGGCGACCGCTCCGAAGCTCCGCCCCCGCCTCGCGCTTCCCCGTCCGGGCTCCGAGGCCCCGCCCCCGAGGAGGCCGCGGGTCCTACCTCCCCGGCGCCCGGCCCGCGGGTGGGCCCGGGGTTGGCAGCGCGCGCCCCGAGCCGAGCGGTAGCCGAGTTCCCCATGCAAACCGCCGAGCGCTCGCCGGCGCCGCCCCGGCTGCCCCCGCACGACCCGGGCACGCCGGCGCTGTCGGTGGTGGACATGCACACGGGCGGCGAGCCCCTGCGCATCGTGCTGGCGGGGTGTCCGGAGGTGGCGGGCCCCACGCTGCTGGCCAAGCGGCGCTACATGCGCCAGCACCTGGATCACGTGCGGCGACGGCTCGTGTACGAACCCCGGGGGCACCGGGACATGTACGGGGCCGTGCTGGTGCCGAGCGAGCTGCCGGACGCGCACCTGGGCGTCCTGTTCCTGCACAACGAAGGCTACAGCTCCATGTGCGGCCACGCCGTGCTGGCGCTGGGCCGCTTCGCGCTCGACTTCGGGCTGGTGGCTGCGCCCCCGGCCGGCGCCCGCGAGGCCCGCGTCAACATCCACTGCCCGTGCGGGCTGGTGGCCGCCTTCGTGCAGTGCGAGGGCGGCCGGAGCCGCGGCCCGGTGCGCTTCCACAGCGTCCCGGCCTTCGTGCTGGCCACAGGTAACCCGCGGGACCGCCCACCCTCGGGCTGCAACCCGAGACGCTACTAACTACACTCGTTCTCTCGGCTGGAACCCACACCGCGCAACTAACCCACCCCACAGCCTTTGCAAATAATGAAAAGGCAATTCTAAGTCACTGCAGATAGCCTTCGGATTTGTGCGGAGCATGCAATTCAATGATCGATCCCCCAGGTCCGTGGACCTGTGGTCTTGAGAGCCTTGAGACATCCTAACCTTAAACCTAACCCTAACCCTAACCCAAACCCTTTGCAAATAATAAAAAGGTAATTCTAAGTCACTTGCTATAGCCTTCGGATTTGTGCGAAGCATGCAATTCAGTGATTGATCCCCCAGGGCCATGGGCCTGTGGTCTTGATAGTCTTGAGACACCCGAAAATCCTAACCCTAAAACCCTAACCCAATTCCGTGCTTCCCTCAGCGCCTCGCTCCCCACTCGGCAGGCATTCCTAGATTTCACAGTTGGCTAAAGCTAGGTCGGCCGGAGTCAAAGGGCAAAGAACAGCCAGTGGGCCCGGTTCCAGGCTGGCTCAGAATGCCCTCGCCAGACACACCATCCCCTCTGACAGGTTACTAAACACAGGTTACTGGGACTGATCTGTAAAAAGTGCTTCTCCACTTCTTGGGGAGGAAATTAAATGAGAATGAACTAGGTAACTTACAAATCGTGAAAGTACTGATGTCGCTAAAACGCTTGCTCTTATTTTTTAAAAACAGGAACAGACTTTGCCTGGGTTCAAAGCCTGAAACCCTATAAGACTGTGCAGCTTGAGTCAAATTACTTAACCTCTCTGAGTCTATACTTCATGTGTTATCGAATTGAGTTTTGTGAGGATTAAATGAGAGAGTGTAAGGCACTACTTAGAATTTAAAAATAGATATATTCCAAGACAGAGACTACCAAATAGATAAGGTTACTAGTTAGTCCTCTAGGTGTGCTGAGCCTTCAGAAGGTTTTGGTGGGTCCCTAGTACAGAGCCTGTGTGACATGTAATAACTAATAACTATCATCCTTACATAGAGGGGAAACCCCTGCAAAGGGCTGCATTCTATCAGTGAGGATGCTGGAGTAGTCATGGCTGGAAGTGAGCTGGGAGCTAAGTTAGTCCAGCCAGGAACTGGCTCATCACCTCTTTTTTTCAAAGCCTTCAAGCCATGCATATCATTCTGTGAGCTCGATCTTAATCCTCCTCTAGGATTTGGGTTCCAGGTTAGCCTGATTCTGAATGATGCCATGACAGTCCAGCTCATTCTTAGAGCAAATAGATGCCACTTTCTCCTTTAGGAGAGAATGGTGTCACATCTGTATTGGGAAGGCACTGGAGGGAGACAGGAGTCTGTGTTTAGATTTCACCTCAAAAACCTCAACAGTTTAACTTGGCACCTCAGACACCCCAGCAGCCAGGGGAAGCCCTCTGGATTTTGTGGGAAATGACAGTAGGCAGCAGGATCACCACCACCTCAATTGGGGCAAGTGATGGCAGGGGCAGCCAACCCCATCAGCTCGGTAGTTCTGAGAACATCACTGCATTAAGAAAATGAAATCTTGCCTGGCTGGTGTGGCTCAGAGGTTGAGCGTCAACCTATGAACCAGAGAATGTCATGGTTTGATTCCCGGTCAGGGCATATGCCCGTGTTGTGGGCTTGATCCCCAGTGTGGGGCGTGCAGGGAAGGGGCGGGGGTGGGGGGGAGCATGTGGGAGGCAGCCGATCAATGATTCTCTCTCATTACTGATGTTTCTATCTCTCCCTCTTCCTTCCTCTCTGAAATCAATAAAAATATATTTTAAAAGAAAATGAAATCCTAAATTCTCTACTTAGAAAAATACAAAAAAGGTGGACTGACTGTTCAATCAAGATCACTACTCTGTCCTTCCTCATCTAGGCGACCTTGTGAAAGGGTTTCTGTTCCTCAGTGTCATGTCTGTAAAATGAAGATGACAGCAGTGCCCATCTCAGAAAATTGCTGAGTCCACCTCCACTCCACCTGCCAAAATGAAAACTCCAGAATTTTGTTCACTGTATTCAAGTGCTAGAACAGTAGGTAGTTAACATTTGTTAAATGAATAACTAAAATGAAATTTGGAGGAGAATATGCTGATTGGCAAATGTAAACAACTGGTTCTCTTAAGAGTTCTATTCCTATTGGGAATTAAACTTCTGGCTTTAATATTAACATTTATTACATTACTAATCTGTGCCAACCACTCCACACACATAATCACATGGGATTCTCAAAGGAAACCTTTGTTGGGGGGAATAGCAGTGCCATTTTACACATGAGGACACCAAAGCCACACTTAGCTTAGCTTTCTAGCAGTCCCTTATTTCCATC